GAAAAAAGTTTTCATTTCAGAGTGCTGTCCATCTTCACTGTGTAATCACTCGCTGGGAAAACCTGTTATTTATTTGTCAAATCTTAGTAATCCCTCAAAATGCAACAGGTGGGGATCCAATAATCATTTTTTTCTGAAAAACGGGCATAAACCTTACCTTTCCCCTTGATTTCACATTTAATTCAACCAAATTTGAATTTCAATATATTATTATTTCAGAGGGAAGAAAAAATTATTGTTTACATTTGCCTTAAAGTTTTATACTTATATAAATGAAATTCCAAGTAAGATTTATGATGTTCGGAGTTTTTGCTTTCTAATCTTTGCTTTATTTCCACTTTCAGGAATAAAACCATTTTTGACATAAAATAAAAGAAAGTAAACATGTCTATGATAAATAACTCTTGGATATCTTTCATTCTTACAAGATTAAAAACTTAATCTCGCATATTTTATTTTTCTCTGAACCTCCAATAAAAGCATTGTTTCAAGTTTTCTAAGAATGATGATATATTTTATAGTTTTTGTCTCGAAGAAATATACAACATTATCAAACAAATACTGACAATTTGATAAGTAATTTTTTAGACGCACGTGTTTCATATTACCGATTTCTCAATGTTAACTCTAATATGAAATACGATAGTAATCTTTCAAAGAAAGTGCTCAATGTATATATATATATAAGAAAATATATAATATAATATAATATAATATCAGATTATAAAAAATGAAATAATATTTAGAGAATATGAGAATATTTAAAAAAAATTGGAATTCGAAAATTGAAGAAAGAAAATCGAACAGATTAAGCAAAAAATGCGAAATAAAAAAATATGAAGGGGAAAAAAAATAGAAAATATAATATATTACGCGTGTAGCGAATTTATTCTCACACTTATCGGCCTCATTTGAAAATAATTTTAAAAAAATTTCGCAACAATTTTGCCTGATTAGTTTCCTTGAATTAGTCCGAATCTGGATGAAATATTAATCCAGTACAATATTATTAATACTTGTAATAATAATATACTGGATAATTAAAAGCTTATAATTAAGAGAATTTAATTTTAATTAAAAATTTTTTAATATTGATAATTTTAAAGATATTATTAACATTTAATGAAACAAATACTAACTAAAATAACAGATCAAACACGCTTCTGTTCTTCAGTAAGAATGCGCCGTTAAATGATCTCACCTACCTCTATTTACGCTTCTATTTTCATATTTTGTAATCAAGCAAACAAGTTACGAAAATATTTTAAATCATTTTTGCGGGCCTCCCTGGCCGAGCGGTATCGCCGGTCCAAACGCTCTGTTAAGCGTGGAGGTAGCGGGTTCGAATCCCGCCGTAACCCTGGATGTATTCTTTGTGATGTCTTTCTCTGAATTGTTCTATCTGTATTTTCTACTTGACAATGACTTATAAGCCTATATTGAGCACACAAGTCAGCAAATGTATGTAATTTCAATAAAATAAAAAAAATAAATCATTTTTGAAAGATGCCGGTAAGTGTAATCACATATGAATTTGCCACTCGCTTTATTTATTAAATTTTCCGTGTTTTTCTTGAATTTCTATTTTGCATTTTTTGCTTAATTTGTTCTATTTTCGTTTTAAGTTTTTGGTGCTCGTGCCACTATTGTATTGATATATTTTGCTATGGCTATAATAGTGTAATATTAGAAAGCACTCTTTTTTTAGCTGCTATAATCGCTAGAGCTGATGACAAGTTAATATTTTTTCCTTTTTCGTTTTCTGGTTTTTTATTTATTCTGTTTTACATTTTTTTGTTGGAATTTAATAAATTTTTAAATATTTTTCAAAAATATTTTACTTTAATAATTTTTCTCCTTTTCCTTGAAAAAAATCTTAATTTTCTCCCCATGTTTTCTATATATTTTTAACTAATCTTATGAATTCAACTTAAATACTTGCTGCTTAAAAGTTGGCTTTATCCATCGCATATGCCAGGCGGATTCGGGCTTTAAGTAATCCTAAGTATGTCAAGCTTGGGTTGGCTCAGATTAAATTTCTTCAGGCTCAGGAGAACTTGGATCTCCAAAAGTGAGCCCGAACTCACTTCTTAATATGATACATTGCGTCATAAATTCCGTTTTCACTCAAAATAAATATTTCTATAGGGACGACAGTGCATGGAATAAATATGCGTCAGCACATATGCAATTAGCATAGAGGTATATGTATCTCTTCTGGTCATTTTTATATTGTAGTTAAACAGCAGACCCATTTTTTGGGTCTCTTCTGGTCATTTTTATATTTTTATATATCGTAGTTAAACAGCAGACCCTATTTTTGGGCTTACAACTACTAATGTTCAACTACGCAACCTTATAATTTTGAACCTAATCCAGAAGACAAGGGAACTCCTGGATCCAAATATTGGGAGAAATTTATCTTCATGGAGGACTTTTTTGCTTTAAACCAGCATTTGCGTTGCATGAAGAGGAAAACCACGAGAACCTCGCACGGGTTAGCCTGACGGCAAGGAGCTCTAACCCGTGATCCATCTACCACTGATGATATTTCCCATCAGCATTGTGGTCGGTGCAAGAATGATGCGGAATACGTATCGACCAGCCATCGCTGGGATTCGAACTCGGTTCACCTAATCCCTGAGCCATCGCGGCTCTCTTCCGATCATTGTGGATTTATATTCTGAACAATAATGCATTAAATCCGTCACTGATACCAACATCATTTGAGGGAAGAGAACCTATTTACTGTCGATGCATATATCATGCATTCCGGATATCGTGTCCATTAATCCATTAATTTTAACCTTTACCCTATAGCGTGTAATTCCTATACGTGTTACCCTATAGCGTGTTTACCCTATAGGGACTATAGCGCGTAATCCGCAACTGATCTGAATGTCATAGGAGTGAGGAAAACCTCTATGTATCTTAGATTTCGTAGTAAAATCGTAGAAAAAAAAATATTTCGTATTCCAAACGTGACTAACAGAGAGGCTAAGAGGCTCATGTCTCAGAATATGGCGGCAGTGACCGAATAATGAAATCAAGCAAATAAAAGAAAGAAAGAAAAGGACTTTAGTCATCTTTACCAAACGAGGACTTCATTATGATGAACCGTTTGTTAGAGTCTAATAAAAGAAAATTTTCATTTCCTTCTTCAATGTGAAGGCAAGACTTCCTTCTCATTTATTCTGATTGAGTGGATGATTCTAGTAATCTAAACTCAGAGGCCTTCGTAATCATTTACTCTCCAACTTTTATTGTGTTAGTGATGGGTGTAGAAAGTGTCACCAGGAATTTTTCGTTGGTGTTGATGTATGAAATGAAGTGAATTTAAATGCATATGATGTCAAGATTAGATCTTTCAATTGCTAAAATGTTTTGTGGAATTTGACAAATTTAGCGTTGGAAGATAAATTTTTCGACTGCAAAATCTTTGTGGATATTGACAAAATGTGCAGTTAAAAAACGGTTTTTCAGTTTTAAAATGCTTGTGGAATTTCATGAAGTTTGATTTTGAAGAAAGATTTTTCAATTGTGAAATTTATTTTGAAAATCGACGAAATTTGCTTTCGAAGAACGGTTTTTCAGTTATAAATGATTTCGGAATTTTAAAGAAGTTTTCTTTCGAAGAACAATTTGTCAGAAATTTTTTTCATAGAATTTGATAAGTTTGAATTCGGGGAATGATTTTTTTAATTGTAAAATTTTTGTGGAATTTGACAAGGTGGAATTGGAAGAACAATTTTTACTTGTAAAAGTTTGTGGAAAATGACAAAATTTGCTTCCAAATACAGTTTTTCAGTTGTAAAATGTTTGTGAAATTTTACGAAGTTTGCTTTCTTTCAACGATTTTTAAATAGTAAAATGTATGGGGAATTTGACAAAGTTTAACTTTGTATTTAGCATGTTAGCTCCATGATTATGAATTTAATACTTAATTTAAGTTTTAAAAATAGCAAGAAATATGTATGTATATATCTTTACATATCAAAATGTAAATTTTAACAAGTATAAGTACTTTTAACTATTACTATAATTAACTATAGCTATAAATACCTATTACTATAACTATTAATACATTCTAACAAAATTTTCTGGCTTTAAATCGAGGTATAAAGTTAACACTTGTATTTTCAATTTTTATTTTCATATAGTATTAGTTTTCTATTATAAATTAAAACGAATAAAATATTTCTTCGTTTCTTCTTAAAGATTTAAAAAATCCTATTGATTAATTATTACTATGAAAAAATGGACGTATTATTTTAAGCTAACATTTAGCAGAAAGTTTTTTTTTTTCAAAGATTAGACTTACTTAATTGTATTTGATGAAAAATACTTAATTTTTAATACTTATTAGAAAGTATATAAATTTTAATTCCTAACTTACAAATATAACATTTGCTTATTTTGATAATTTAACTTTAAAACTATATTCGTTTTATTTTAAGTTAATAGACAATAAATTAGTTTTTTTTTTTTGTCAAAAGTATACATGTATTACTTTTTTTAGAGACTATTGTTATGTCATTTCTTCTAATATTTTCTTTTCATATTTATTTTAATACTAAGTGGATTTAAAAATGATTTAATATGTATTTTGAATGAAAAATAGCTTCCACTATTACATTTTTCAAAAAAAATTTAACGATAAATTTATTAATAACAAATAATTGCGAGTAAAAAAAATAAATGATTTTATTTGTTTGTAATAGCAAATCACAATAGCAATAGCTTTCACAATTTCTCTCATTACTCTTGTACTCAAATGCCTACAAATTTTAACTCTTAACCAATGAGAAATGTTTAAAAAAATGGCATATCAGCTGTCATAATTTAATCATTATAAATATTAAATTTTGAATATTAATCTTACAGTACATTTACAAATTTATTCAAAATCTTACTATTAATTTTACAGATCATTTCACAGATCTACTCAAAAATATAATAATTTTAATATTTAAGTACCAAACTATAGTAGATTTACAAAAATAAGACTTTCTAAATTATATCTATTAATAAAAATGCCTTCAAATTTCAAATCTTAAATAAACAATGATAAATGCTCCCGAATATTCAAAACAGTAACGTAATAGCCGTCAAAATCTAATTATCTCTAACAGAAGTAAACAAGTGTTTGTCAAATCACAATCTACCTGATCAAATTTTTTCAACCAGCGCCCTCTCTTCTGCTCATACATTATCTTTTTGCGGTATCCGCCGCAATCACGGTCTTTCATTGTTTGAATGTAAAGCGAGATAAAGAAGACAACTACCTGAAACAAAACAAGAAAAAATAATTCATGCTTTACATCACTCTTTGCTGTATGGTCAAAATTGTGGTGATCTCTGTTCTTTTTGCGCGATGTGAAACCACAGAATAAGGATTATCTCTCCTTTTTTCTTTCGTGTGTGTGTCTAAAAAGTTGTGTTTACTTGTGTGTGTGTGTGTTTCATGGCAAAAATGTGTTTTATTAAGAAGATATACATTGTTTGGATTTTGTGTTTGCTGTGGATAACGCATCAAAGTTATTCAGAACAAGGTGAGTGACGTTTTGTTTGTTTATTTATTTATTTTAAATGCTAAATTTTCATCATGGTTATTTAAATATAACGGTAGATTGCTTTTTTTAATTCAAAAATTATTAATATTTAAATATGATAACGAGCACGATTTTTGATGAATTTCGAAAATTTTAAAATAAATTTTCAGATTGTATATATACGCCTTTTTAAATGGATACTTTATATTATTACAAAGTATAATTTATATCGAAATGATGTTATGAGTATAATAATGCATATAGGTATTTTTCATCAAGAAAAACAATTGGTATTTAAATATAGAAACAGTCCAACAGCAGCCAGTGGTAGGCCAAAGAGGTCATAGCGGTTAAGGCTTCACAGTTTCATGATCAATAACACGATGGTACAGCAGCCACTTTTACTTACTAAACAACATAGTATACCCTGATTAAGTGTGCTATTCTGCAAGTCCCTGACGGGGATCGAATCCGCAGTCTATCACAAAGACAGCACAGTTTCTAGACCACTGAACTATCGTGGTAGTTTATTTAATTACGGTTATGATTAAATAGGATAATGTGTAGGACTTTTGATAAAGCTCGAGAAATCTTAAAATTCAAATTGCTTCCTCATGCTTTATTTATTTACTTATTTATTTTATTTGTCCCGCAGTGGACTGATCGTTAAGACACGGTTCTCAGCAAATCACCGAAGTCAAGCATCTCTGGCTACGGTCAGTGTGCGGGTGGGCGATCACTTGGATCAGCCTGCGTAGAGACCGAGGGTGTGCAGTATTTTATTTTATAACCGTCGTTGAACAGCCGACCCAATTTCATGGATTTACGACTACTAATGTTCAACTCCGTANGCAGAGGATCAAAATTGTGATGGCATGTCTTCGGATCATCCTCCGGGATGTTTCCCAGACCGTCGCCAATAGCCCATTGTGCGGCTCTAGTGCGACGTAAATTAACAACAACAACATCGAAACATAGTAAAATTCAAATTGCTTAATCATGCTTTATTTATTTATTTATTTTTATTTTTAATATAAAATTATGATTATTTTCAGGCTAAAATTGCTTTAATAGGATTATAGATTTGTTATTTATTTTCTTCATTTTTAATTTTTTATAGATAATTATGCTTAGAATAGAATAAGTTTTCGACGGGGATCGAACCCCAGTTTACCACAAAGCCAGCACTGTTTCTTAACCACTATACTATTGTGATAGTTTATCTAATTATGGTTATGATTAAAAANGTGATGGCATGTCTTCGGATCATCCTCCGGGATGTTTCCCAGACCGTCGCCAATAGCCCATTGTGCGGCTCTAGTGCGACGTAAATTAACGACAACAACATCGAAGCATCCTAAAATTCAAATTGCTTAATCATGCTTTATTTATTTATTTGTTTATTTATTTTTATTTTTAATAGAAAATTATGATTATTTTCAGGCTAAAATTGCTTTAATAAGATTATAGATTTGTTACTTATTTTATTCATTTTTATTTTTTTATAGATAATTATGAATAGAATAGAATAAGTTTTCGACGGGGATCGAACCCCGGTTTACCACAAAGACAGCACCGTTTCTTAACCACTATACTATTGGGATAGTTTATCTAATTATGGTTATGATTAAAAAGAATAATGTTTATTACTCTTAATAAAACCTGAAGTATCCTAAAATGCAAAATTGCTTAATCATACTTTACTTATTTATTTATTTATTTTTAGTTCTTTAATAGATGATTATTATTATTTTCAGTCTAAAATTGCGTTTATAAGATTATAGATTTATTTATTTTAGTTATTTTTATTTTTTAATTGATAATTATGATTAGGATTATTTCTAGTTTAAAATTGGGTTTATGAGATTATAGATTTATTATTTACTTTATTTATTTTTATTTTTTAATTGATAATTATGATTATAATTATTTCTAGTTTAAAATTGCGTTTATGAGATTATAGATTTATTATTTACTTTATTTATTTTTATTTTTTAATAAACATTTGTGATTATTTCCAGCCTAAAATTGCGTTAATAAGATTATAGATATATTTTGTTACTGAAGTTTCTTTTTTCTGACACTTCCCCATCAGGGTTACATCTATTCAGAGTAATTCCAACACGCGTAATTCAGTCAATTTTCGCAATTTTAATTTACGTTTACTTTTATTTATTTATTTTCGTTTTATTTTTGCATCAGACATAGTTTCTATGTGACGCCGTTATATTGAGTTTGCTATGTCATACCCATCTTCTGTTTTCGTGTCCTTAGCCAATACATTCAATCAATAATTTGCAGTTCCAAAATTTGATGTGCAAAATTTTTCATTATGCGTGATTATCATTCATTATGAGTAATTATAATTATTATTATTATGAAAAATTATTATTATTACACGAAAAAATGCCGTGCTAAAGTTTGACTTAATTTATAAGTAAAAGTTAGTGAGTATTTTCGTATTTAGAATCGATGTAGGGTACAGGGAATCATGGTAACTAAAGAAGTAGTTAGGCAGTGTATTGTTTCTGCGCGACTGTAAATTGTAAATAAAATTATGTTGTTCAAAATAATTTTTTTACACTATAGAAACGTTTTCATTAATAAATTATTCATAATATATAGTATGTTCCCATTGCCATCTTTAATATACACCGAAGAGCCATTGCATTATGACCATCCTGCTAATAGCATCTAGGACCACCTTTAGTCCTCAAAACTGCTAGCACCAGCCGTGGCATTGATTCCTCAAGGTGCTGATAGGTAGTCTGAGGTATCTGGTACCAAGCGTCACCAACTGGTCCTGCAATTCCCTCACATTGCGAGGGGGTAGCGTGGCAGCACGAATTTGGTTTTCCAAGTAGGACCACAAATGCTCTATTGGATTAAGATCAGGTGAATTTGGGGACCAAGACGTGACTTGAAAGTCACTGGAATGTTCCTCGACGATTCGAACCTTATGACATGGTCCATTATCCTGTTGGTAAGCACCATCCCCTGCAGGAAAAACTGTTGCCATGCATGGGTAAACCTGGTCTGCAACTATGTTTAAGTAGCTTACAGACGTCAGGGATTGTTCTATGAGGATTATGGGCCCTAATGTACCCCATGAAAACATTGTTCCTGGGCGAGAAACCATGAAAACCTGGGCGAGAGGAAACCATGAAAACTAGATGGAGGGTGGTCGTAATGTAATGACTTTTCGGTGCACATTGTTTTAGTAATATTTGTAAATAATGAAGATTAAATAAATATACTTATTGGGTATTGCATCTAAATATTCAAGGAAAGAAAAAGCAAGAACGCTTTCGAAATCTGATGAATCACAACTGATGGAATAGAGTGTACGAAACATTAAAACTTGTTTGTTTGCTGGAGGAAACAAGTAGGAATTGACAATTAATAGAAATACTTTCAAAATGTAATCAAACTTCGTTTGGGAAATTGTACACCCGGCATCCCAAATTGTGATTCATTAGATTCCGGTACCAGTTTTTTTTCCTTACTTAAAATGATAATATAATATTGTCAATGTGCATCAATGTTTTGTCTTCATTTTTTAACAAAGTGTCTAAAAATATATATCAAGCGTAGTCTATTCGAAACAATCCGTACACAAATTTTAAATCACATTGAGAGGTATCATTGATATCTCCACTGTTGAGTCTTCGTCGATATCTAAAACTTCTAGGAAGGAGCTAAATTATCTACAATTACCTCATGAATGCATGTGATAATTAAGATAAACACGCAATAAAATATTTTATATTTAAATCACGGCCCTGGTAGGGACAGTGCGCAGTAAAAGAAAAGAAAAAAAGATAATTGGGCGATGGTGAAACTCTTCGTAGAAAAGAGTTAGAAAACATACAAAAATAGAAATCTTTTCCCGTTGAATTATATATTTTTTTCACATACGTTTAGTTTTGTAGATGTATTTTCAAGTTAAATTTATTCTTAAATTTTATTTAAACAGAATTTAAAACCACCAATAGCGGTTCATCACCTTCCTTCGAAGATAGAAACTATTGTTTTTGATTAAATTTTCCTCTAGTGCTGGGAAATATAGGAATTTTTAATATCGCGATCAGATATGTCATCAGAAAACATTTAATTTAACGGTTTATCACAATTTTTTACAACACAGCTTATTTCGGGCGGGATAGCCCTGTTGGTAGAGCACTGGGCCCATGTCCAAGAGTTCGTGGGTTCGATCCCACGTCGGCCAAAAACTCCCGGTGTTGAAAATGGTGACTGATGCACGTTAAATCTGTCGAGTCGCAATGTCCTCCGTGTTTCCATAACAAATCAATACCTCTAGGGGGTACTGATCCAGGAGTTTCCTTGTCTTCTGTATCGGCTCAAAATTACTAGGATACGGAGTTGAACATTAGTAGTCGTAAACCCAAAATTGGGTCAAAAAATCTTTATATATATATATATAAAGACTGCAGCTTATTTGCATTACTTTTTCATTATTCAATTTCATAAAACCATTGAATTTTTTCAGCAGACACTACAATATCGCATATTCGATAAATGTTATTCAATAAGCCTTGAATCTCCAATATTTATAGCAGTCTACAATGATCCAGATAGTTTTGTACTCTATAATTATTGTAATGGATAATGATTAGAGTATTCTAAAGTACATATTACAATAATCGTATATATCCAAAATATATCTTACCACCTATAGTACTAGCGACATATCTTAGGATTGCATTTGTTACATATCAGTGTAATGTTTTTAAAAATTATCGATATTTTATGACGTAATAGTCACACTCTATTAATATCCAAAAATCGTATTTGTACGTCATGTTTGTCATATTTATCTACTATAATTTTCAAAAGGCGCAATTAGAGAACTTTTCAGAAAGTTCTCTTATTTATTTAGATAAAAATGAGCTATTTTATTTTTTTTATTTAAAATATTTTTTATGAAATAAAGGCGATGCTTAAGGAACATCCTGTACATTAAGAATGGTGATAATCGA